TTCTTTAAAGAACCGTTTTAGAAAGTAGGATGTGTGATGGTAAAGAACATTTTTGAAGTTTAAAGAAACTAATATTAAAGTTCTACATCAATTAAAGAACAAGTTTAAAGCGAAAACGATGTTGGACCCTTTACTTTTTAGATTTATTACGTTTGTACATGACCTTTCCTTTTAAGAGAAACTACATTACTGGTTCTTCATAGGTTCTTTAGTTACAGCAATTGTTATATATAGATGGTAGCATGTGTGGTTAAATTGTTCTTCTCTATGATGTAAAACCTGTTGTATGCTTCTAATGCTTCTATATAGCCCAAAAAGGGCTCTGCTATTGTTACAAGTCACAGAACCTTTTTCTGGTACTACATAGAACCCTGTTTGCTAAGATTCTGAATATGAGATCACAAAAGACATCAGTTAATTTATAGATAGATCACTACATAGTGGGCTGTCAATGTCCTTTTCTCTCCATCACACAGATACATTAGAGAGAAGCCCACCCACTCAGCATTACTCCTCATTTGCATTTGGACCCTGCAGGGAATGAGGAGGGTCTCCACTGGCTGTGCATCTTTTAAAAAACAACCAATAGGAAACAACAGTGACCTCCTGATAGGGAGGGGCCAGTGGACCCCCAAAAGCTCCTCATGCCCACCTCTGGAGGAGGGATCTGTGCGTGTGTGTGTGTGTGTGGGTGGTGGGGGCCTACTGCAGGGGGTGAGTTCTCAGCCTACTCTCTGCATGTGGTCGACTTAATGAGATGTGATTTTTTATGTTGTTCATGTATTTCATTAACAGGACTATCAGAAGCATCCTGATGTTATGATAAATGGTACTGACATTTTCTTTCACTGTCAAATTATTATTTTCTTGTCATTCACTAGGATATCTTCAGGGCCTCTCGTTAGAAATAGCCTCAGTAGTGTGTTTTATCTCTCTCTTGACACATCTGAATATACAGTGCCCCCCAAAGAACTTGGACACTATTAAGAAACTTTAATAAGTTCTTTAGGTTATTTCATAAAATGTTTGAAGCTGCACTAAAGCTGCACTTTTTGTTAAAATTGAAGGAAGCAGGATTATTGAGTCAGGAGATTGAAAAAACATACAAAAATATGGTGTCTGTGTATTGCTGATGAGGCCCTGAAGATCTGAAAGTCAGAGGCTCAAAAAGAAGGTCTGGCTCAAGGTTTAGGTCTTAAATGCAAAATCAACATTATACCGAGGATATGATGACAATAGCAGATAAATGACTTACATCTTTGGAACGCATGTCTCCAGTTCTCTTTAAATACTCTTTTAACATGCTCGCAAATCAGATTCATCTGCTCGGGGAAGGGGTCCAAAGCACAACAGATGATATTCTCCCACACATTGCACTGCAGTTACACATTTCTACCAGAGAGGTCTCCAAAACTTACACAGTGTAGCTTCAACAAAGATGTTTGTTTTAGAGAAAACACACACACACACACACACACACACACACACACACACACATTTTCTAAGCCGCTTATCCTTCTGGGTCGCGAGGGGAGCTGGAGCCTATCCCAGCAGTCTTTGGGTGAAAGGCAGGAAACACCCTGGGCAGGTGAAAATTGGAGGGGTATGTTTAAATGAAATTCCACATGGTATGACATTTGTAATTATCACACAAATGTTCAATAACATTTCAGGGCCGCTGTAATTCTGCAAGAAATCACAGTATTGTTTAAAACTATGTGTAATATAATTGATGTCTTTATTTTGTATCTGTAAAAGATTGGCTAAGTGTATTTGAAAGGCTTGGTCATATTACATATATTCGGTTCATCATGATCTTCACTGTTGACACTATTGTTTATCTAGTATCAACGTGTTGATCTCCAGTCTTGATCACAGATAGCACTTAGCAGACGATTTGATCATGTGACTGATGGCATGACTGTAGTACTATTCATCTGTTGCAGTAATGGCATTAAGTATGAGATGCCATTAATAGCTGTATGAAGCTTTACTATACAGGTATCAGCGGTGTTGATGAACACCAACAGGAATTGTCTAAATTACTTAACATGATCATCCATATTTTATCCTTCTTCTAAAAAGTTACAATTTTATAGATATGTAGTTTTCTTATATCTACAACTATAATGTATATTAATGTACCTGTATGTAAAGACAGAATTACAAGTACAGATTAACTTTTTCTTTTCCAATATTGATATTAAACCTTGAGAATCTACCAATATTTATTCAATATTTCTTCTTCAAAGCTACCAAGCTTTAAACTGAGCTATTTTTAATTCAAGCATGTCACTTAGTATAAGCATCTAACAGTAGACTATCATGCTCAAACTGCTCAAACACTCTACTACCCCACAGGAAGAAACACACAGCTAACAATATCACATCACACAGTGTGAATGTGGTATTTCAGGCTATATTTATCACAAGATCGAACCTGATTCATTCCTTTTTCCCCTCTGATATCTGATCCAACCTTTTCTGCTGTTACTGGCCCAATACAGGCCTGATACCAGCAGCAGACATCAGACTGGTGCCATTTTTAGAGATAAGTGTGTATTAAGAGTGAGAAGCATCAGACTATCTGGTCTCCCTCCCCTCATCACTGCTCCAGATTAAATGTGAGATTTAGCCAGGGAAAGGCGTGAATTACTCCAGGTGCTCGTAGATCAAACAGACAGGTCCCAGCCTTTAGAGATGAGTTAGAATCATGAGGAGATGAGAGACACTTTGACCGTTCATTATCTGTGCTTTGACCCGCTGTTCTCTATCTTGTGTGCTAAAAGGCACCAGATGGTGTTCAACCCACTCCGTCAACTTGACCATTTGAGCCTCAAGCTAAAGGCAGTGAGTGATGTCATGCAGTGATACATTCACCACAGTGAAGGCAGAGTGACAGAGTCATCTCAATCAGAGTCACAGTGCTGTATGGATTGCAAGAGGCAAAAGGAACAGAAGGGCCTGAATAATCAAATCATCCTTAATGTATATCCAGTATATCCAGTACATATGCTTGTGTGTGTTCATATGCACACACACACATGCACATAGTTGTGAAAGGTTGAGATCGTAGGTGAAAATTCACATTTTAGAAGTGATTTATAATGTTGGTTTGGCGTGAAAATGTGTGTAAATGAACACGAAGATTTTATGACACTGTGATTTTCTTAAACGTATGTGAACTTATTTAACAAATTTAAAATGAAATTCAAGCATGTTTTATAAACTGTACCCCATTTTTGTACATTCTTGTGGAAAAGGAATCATCTCATTCATAATGTTTATGCACAGTTTTCAGGCTTGTTGCATTAATAAAGTATCTAATAAAAAAAAAATTGAAATTAATTAACTTAGTCCTCTGAATACAAAAAAGTATATTCATTAACACTCTTTCTTGTACCAAACCATTAAATGTGCATCTCCTTCCTGATGCATGCTCTTATCCGATACTGGGCCCATCTTTCCAGTTTTTTTCACCCACTCAACCTGTCCATTCAGGCTTTGCTTTTCTGGTTATTGGCACACTGTTTTGAGGGCAAATCTCTTAATTAGCACCTCCAGTGTGATACCAGTGTGGAAATCTGAAAGAGATTTTCACATGTACACGAGCACACACACACACACACACACACACACACACACACACACACACACACACACACTTACCCATTGTCTGCAGAGTCATACAGCCAACTAGCTCCATGTCCTTTAGTTCCTCCTTTTCCAATGCAAAGGGGAATTATGGTTCAAGTTAGTTCAGCTTAGCAGTGTGTTCACACATGTTTGCATGTGGCTCAGATTTCCAGTCTACAAACTGCACACAGTGCTTTGATAAGAACTTATGGGAACTGCTACATTGTGTATTAAACGGCAAAGGCCCGAGTTACACACGTAGGCTTGTGTGTGGTTCGTGGAAGACTACAATATTTAATTCAACAAATTTGCATACACATACTATGACGTGTATTTGCACACAGATACTCATGCGCTGTGAAGTGTTGGTAGCCTACATATCACACAGCTCTGCAGAAATATTTTAAGAGTAGCCTATCTGAGGTGAGGCACACAAGTGTTCATGATAGCTTATAGCACTGCAGAGCAGAGCTTCTTTAAAGAACTATTCATTGAAAGATTCTCTGGGAAACCAAAAGTGGTTCCTCTCTGGCAGGACTGCCTAGTCCTGGTCCTGGAGATCTAACACCCTGCAGAGTGTAGCTCCAACCCTAATCTAACACACCTGATCCAGGTAACGAAGGCCTTTAGGGACATCAGAGCCTGGTGTGTTGGAGCTGAACTCTCCAGTGTGGTAGACCCCCAGGACCAAGATTGAGTAGCCCTGCTCTATGGTATCACTTTGAAGGACCCTTTTTGGCACCTTTGTGTTTAAGAATGTTGCCCTCAAATCCAGTCCTGGCCTTTGTAATTGCTAATAGTTACATGAGAAATGAATGTAGCTAGCTGGCCACATTGGGTCCTAGATAGAAAATCTGTACTTGGACCTTGAGGGTTGTGACTTGATGGTTTGACTACATGAGCCGTGCACAGATCTCCAATTATATAGAGAAATGTTATTTCTAAAAAATCGGCATAGAAGGGCAAGGTAAGGCGAGTTTATTTATTTAGCACATTTCACACATAAACAAAAGCAAAAAAGGAAAATAAAAAGGAAACAATAAAGACAAAGTGCATAAAAGTGAAAAACAATAATAAAAAAAATGTCAGCAATAGATAGATAGATAGATAGATAGATGCTCTACAAAAATGATCATATTATTTAGACTGCAATAAAGCTTCTTTCAGCAGCGCGTGAATGCCTGGTGTCAGTTTGAGACTTCTGGTAAACAAATGCAGCTACATTCTTCTTTCTCAAAACAGGCCAAACTGAACGGCTTTACTCGGTCCTGTCTCTTTAAATAGGGGCGTGGCTACAGAACTACTACCAGCCTTTATGCAAAACAGCCCGCTCGCTCTTCTGGATTAAACCGCGCTGGAGTTGCTTCAAGGATCCAGAGTGAGTGGAAGCCGCAGTGAGGACGCAACTGTTTCAGCGTTCAGTTTGGGATTCTTCACAGACTCTGTTTGGGAAAGCTTAACCTCGAGGGAAAGAACCCTGCAGACGAACTACGCCGAAACACTTGGACACATATAAAAAGGATTTAGCATTTTTGCTGGAAAAGCACTCTTTCCTGAATGCGCGAGAGTGAAGGCGTTGGGAATAAACAACACAGCTCAGTGTTGTCGGCGTCCTGGAGGAGCTCTTGCCTGAGCCGAGCAGCAAACAAAGTCTCGCTGTGGATTTTCACGACTCAAATGTCTTGCAGGATACGGACGCTTGAGATTGATTTACGGTAAGGGTGTAGAGAGCATTATATCCTTAGTTGACCCTAGTAGAAGTCATTGTTGTGCTTAGTTTAAGTCGTATCTTGTGTTTTTTTGTTCTAAGGATGCAGCTAAGAAATCAGTAGCTTGTGGTCCTTAGCAGAAATCCCCAGTTGAAGCCCAAGTAGATACCTTTGTGTGATCAGCTGAGTTAGTAGTTCATATTAGAAAGTACCGGGGCTGAAGGCTGCGGCGTTCAGGGCAGCAAGGTAATTTCCCTGAAGAGCTGTGAGGCAGCTCTGCTGTAGCATAAACCCCACTGACACACTGCATCGTGTTGTGTAATAGAAGTGTGTTGCGAAACTTTTAAGTTCTACCACCAAAAGTGTGAGCTCAGGCAGGCAAACTGCTTTTATTGGTCAGGCGTTTTAGTAAGCTTCCTCTATTTAGGATTGCAGTGAGGTGAACACATCATGAGTGGGTCATGCCAATTTGAATAATGGATTAAGTGCATTAGCTTAGTAAACCTGCAACCACTTGAACTTGCTCTCTCTTCTGGGTAGACCGTGTACTTTGGCCTATTTTGAGACTAAAACAGCAAATGGAGATGCTCCCATGATGTTTATTCAGGTCCCAGACAGCACAACCTGTGACTTGAGGACAGTTGTGAGATACATCTTAGTTATATATGCCACCTAATTCCATTTCTAAAGGAGATTTCATTATTCCCTTTCAGATCTTGTGTGCTGTGACTGTGTCAGAGTCTGAAGTTGTGTGGTTGAGGAGACCAATGCCAGGAATCAGTGCGAACGTTCTGCCGTGTGACAGGTGGGAGATGGAGGAATGTGACCAGTACCAACACTATTTCTACGATGACCATAACCTGGACGAGGATTTCTTCAAATCCACCGCGCCGAGCGAGGACATTTGGAAGAAATTCGAGCTGGTGCCAACCCCGCCCATGTCACCCATCAGGACAGTGGAAGGTGCAGTGTATCCATCGCTAGGGGACAAGCTGGAGTGGGTGTCCCAGTTCTTGGGGCAGGACGAAGAGCATGAGGGACAATGCAAAGTCAGTGCGGAGAAGACTTTTGGTAACTTGAGCTCCATCATTATCCAGGACTGCATGTGGAGCGGCTTTTCCGCCAGCCAGCGGCTAGAGAAAGTGGTCAGTGAGCGCTTATCTTGCTCGGGACAGTCCAAGCTGCCCTTCACCCTCCAGACTAACTCGACGCAGCCCAGCAAGTCGCAGGGTGTCCCTGCAGACGCCACGCCTGTTCTCAACAGCTTGGCGACGGATTGTGTGGATCCAGCGGCTGTCCTGACCTTTCCCTTGAGCAGCAGCTGCAAGAAACAGGTGTCGTCCGGGTCAGAGTCACGCACCGACTCCTCTGGTAGGTGTTCAGTCCTTGACATTGGTCCAAGTGCAAGATGTACATGCAGTTTTCTAGACTCCCTCAAGGATTGTTTTTCTCACAAGTGTTCTTACTCAAGTGCTAAATAGCATTAATGTTATCATTTGCCTCATAAGACCCTGATAACTATTAATTAAACTGATCTCTTCAGGCAACACTGGCTTATGTGACGTTTCAGTGTAAAGTTATATTTCTGTAGGTTTCATTTGTTTTAAAGAGTCAAATCAGTAACAGTCTTGTAGAGGTGTTACTCGAGTTATGCAATAATGCCTAAGTTTTGAGGTTGACATCATGTGTGGAATGTCTGTGTGGACTTGTGCCATAGTCCTGCATTCCAGAACTCAAACAACGGGATGGATTGTTTTACTTGTGGGCGGAGAATAGAGAACGATCAGCTGAAAGAGGAACCAGTGAGAAGTATAGTTAAACTTAAGTTGAGGAGGACCACAGAGTTTCTCCGCTCCTGAAGGAACAATAAAGATCTTTTTAAAAAGTTGCATGAGTACAGATTAAACTGGCTTGTTTTTATCATAGCCTTTAAAAGCCAGTGTCTAACACAGTGAAGATGCCCACTTTAGATGTTACAGGAATTGACCTCACAGCAGAACTGCAGTGTTTTGACATTATAATTTTGGAGCACAGCAGCTTGTCTGGAGGTTAATGCTCTTAAGTATCTAGCTAGGCTCTTAGTTTATGGCCTTGTGTAATTTGTGCTTTTTAACTGCCTTCAGCTGTAGTTTGGATGCTCAGCTGTAATGATGCAGGTGTTGGCCTTGAATGCATTTGAATTAAACTGAGAACAGTTTCCTCAAACTCTGTTAGCCCTTCTGTGTTTACAGAACTGCGCTGCTGAACACGTGCAACACTTATGGTGACAAACAGCTCTTTGGTCATAGTTTATTACTGTAAAATCACTTCAAGTCAGGCAGAGGTCTTTTATAGGATTTCCTCCCACAGAGAATAGCATTTCATTGGAATCTTGAATTCAATTTAACTGAATTCAGTTGAATTAGTTCCTCTGCATAACCGTAACCTTCACCTTGATTGAGTCACAGGAGTTGTGGATAGATGTGCACTTAAAATTAAGCCTATCATCTCATTAATGGCAACTGATACATGCTAAATTAGTGCTAGAATAATGACTCCAGTTTTGGTTAGTAATATCTGTTTGTGCTGATCTTTTCAGATGATGAAGAGATCGATGTGGTGACAGTGGAGCATAAGCACAATAAGCCACGGCTGGTCAGCTCCCGTAAGCCGGTCACAATCACCGTGCGTGCTGACCCATACGACCCCGGCATGAAGCGATTTCACATCTCCATCCACCAGCAGCAGCACAACTATGCCGCCCCCTCCCCTGACAGCCATGCTGACGCAGAGCCTCCTCGTAAGAGGGTCCGGCAGGAGACTTCTCAACCACGGACAGGCTCCACACCCCACATGCTCGAGAGCAAACCCCACTTACCTGTTGCTGCCGTCTCCATGCCAGCACAGGCCATGGCCACTTCCCCACCCCACGCTTCATCCCATCTCAGCCTCAAATCCCAGCCCTCTAGCCCTCAGAGCTCAGACAGCGAAGACATGGACAGACGCAAGAACCACAACTTCCTGGAGCGAAAGAGACGCAATGACCTGCGCTCTCGCTTTCTGGCCCTGAGAGATGAGATTCCAAGCCTGGTGGACTGCCCAAAGACGCCCAAGGTGGTGATCCTGACCAAAGCGACAGAGTACTTGCGTCTACTGCACATCACTGATAAGCAAAAGGCCCAGGAAAAGAAGCAGCTGAAGAACAGGCAACAGCAGTTACTTCGGAGGCTAGCAGAACTAAAACGTTCCTAGTAAATAAATAATAAAAAAAAAGGCCCAACTTTGACAGAGCCAGTCCAGTTACAAGAACTGCTCACAGAAATGGAGATATTTAAAAGCAAGGACACCTGTACTTTATTTTGTAATATTATTCTAAATATTATTATTTTTTTATGTTCTTTGCACATTTGATTCTGGAGTTGGGGAGATGGATACTTTCAAACAGACTTATTAGGTGGCTCTTTCTCCTGGTTTGTTATGGATTACATAAACTTCACTCTCTTTCCCAAAGAAAGCCCTGCTGAGTATTTGTACCTTATGTAAAAGAATTGAATTGAAAAGATTGAAGATAATAACCCCAAATTGCTCTCGCATATTAAATCAATCCTGGCTGAGGATATTTTGTAATGTTGAGTTAGCATGCCATTTAGGCATTATTTGAAATGTAGCATTTAGCCTGTATGCATGTTTAACTACCCTTATAAAATGGTTTTTGTGTGATAGAATTTGCAAAAAAAATCTGATTTCATAAGCTTAGTGGAACCTGAAACGTGTAATTTGAATGCCCTGCTGTGCCATTACTAACATTCAAAATCATTTAAACAATTTTCAAAGTGAAGTTTGTGTGCCCATTGCAATATTCTGCCAGGATTTAACGGGCAGTCTAACGGGCAGAAAGTTGCATTGCCCTTGGCTGTCTGTCTATAAAGTTCACATACTTGTTTTCTCAGTAAATATTCTATTGATGCACATTTGAGTCAATGCCTTACACAGCCTTGCAGTGTATATAAACTGTGACATAATTGTACATAATAGCTCTGCTGTAGATCCATGTGTAAAATATATTATATATGCTTTTTGTTTTAATACCAAAATCAATGCTGTTCATTTGATTAACTTTTCGTCCCTTATTTCCCTCACATGACCTAAACATGGTTGGCCCACTTGGCTTACTCCTATGAGAATATCAAAGCTTCTATTTTTGTTAAGAAAAGTAAAAATAAAAAGGCATAAAAAATAAAATGACACTATCAAACTTTACTTTTTATCACTAGCCACTTTGATGCTGTTTTCACTGCCTATTCATTTCATCTTGTGGATGGGTGTGTAAAATCTTAATAGGTTAGTAAGTCATAAATGTTTAAAGATACTTTTGTACTCTATTTTCCTACAGATTTCAGTATTTCTTGTGTTTTTGTAATATTTGTCATTTTCTGTGTTCTTTTTTTTTTCCCCTCTTTCTTTTGTTTTATTTCAGTGTTGGTGGCATATGTTTTCTTCCATCGCTAATCCCCATTTCATATTGCATTATCCTTACATTAGCAACGTCATTTTCTACCATGGGTGTTCCTCACATCCTGTGGTAGTTGCGCCTGGTTATTTTTGACCATAAAAAGCCGTAGTACTTATATCACAAGCCTTAATCCAGAAGCCAGTTTGCATTTCTTTCTCAGGCATATGATGTGATTGATTGGATGTTCAGTTTTTCATTGGCATGTTTGTTCCTATTCTTGGATGTATAGTATGAAGTGGGATTTTTTTCAGTTATGTTCAGTATAGGAATAGGCTTAATCTGTATCTGGGAAAAAAACAGCCCAGTGAAAGACTATGGCTGCTCTTTAATGTAGCTCATCACTGACCACTTACTCAACTATACACCGCTACACTCCATTAGACCTAACATTGTTTTCTCAACTGCTGTGATCTGCATATGCCACCAACAGTGTGCTGTTTTGTGTTTTGTCTTTGTTTCCTTGGGAAGAGATGAGCTTTAAGAGTGTGTTTTGCCTGATTTCTGTTACATTCTCTTTTCCCCCTGTTTGTTTTCATCTTTTTTTTTCATGCTTCTTTTGCCCACTACAGGTGGTCCTTGTGGGTGGGCATACACTGGGAGCATGGCAGCAGCATTAAGCACTTTGTGTTCAGTACCTCATGAGCCTATAGAAGTCAGACAATTAATAAACTCAAATCATTCAGATGTGTTTTTTTTGTCGTTGTTTGAAAAGTTTTAATGGCATTCAGTATTGTGTCGAAGTATGGGTATGAACTCTCTTTAAACACATGCGTTAATGTGCCGATAGCTATTAACTTCTCACAACAGACGCACCAAGAATGAGAACTTTTTGCAAGAAAGGGTGTAGTCTGTTGAATCATGGCCTATTAATAGGACTAAATTGTACCAATTTTGTAAATTGAGAGAACAATGCTGAAGGCTGTTGTCCCAATTTAGTTTCCCCATATTTAAAAGACCCACTTTCTGTAGATGATAGGGAAGATAGTACTGAGTACTAAGTGAAGGTGGCACCACTAATCCTTCCTCAGTCCAGTCACCCTGACTACTACCAGACAATTCAAATGACCTGGATGTCTGAAAATCTTCACAGGCATAAAATGACCGGGTTTCCTATTTTATATGTAATAAGCAGCCTATATTCCTCTGTCCCTAACCTGTATCAGTGAGGGTGAGGAAACCTGTTTGGATCATTTCATGCACGCGGATGGTTGCAGTACACTGGTTGCCGTGGCAACTAGTGTCTCTTTTTTTCCATGGCGCAGGTCGTTCAGTTTCCATAGCAACAAAGCAGCTATTCTTTTTCTTTCACGTTGAGTCAACGGGCTTCAGAAAGTCAACAAAAGTGTGTGCGAGGTGGAGTGTAAAACCCACCCGACTGCATGAGCCAGGGTGAGTTCAGGTTAAGCAGGACATCAGATAAAGTTGGACTCCTCAGCTTAGTGGCACTGTGCTTCTGTACTTTTGTCAGCCAATGATAACGAGTGTTACTTAGACCATTGTTTCTCAGCCCTGGTCCTGGAGGCCCACTGTCCTGCACATTTTAATGCTTTTCCTGCTTTTCCACACCCACTTTAACTCATTAAAGGTCTGTTAATGAGCTGATCAGTTGGATCAGGTGTGTTAGGAGCAGGGAAAACACTAAAAAGTTCAGAGCTATGGGCCTCCAGGACCAGGGTTGAGAAACACTGATGTAGATGCTGCCGTGTGTGAGCATAAATATGAATGAATGTTTTAGATTTATGAACTGTCATTGCTGTGGGTGTGGCTACAATTAAAGTGCACTCATGGTAACTGATAGAATAAAAACATTCTAACCTGTTAAAGTTGTAGCTTTTTTAAGACATTATAATTGCCTTTGATTTTAAAATGCAAATTGAGTAAGAATTGATGATGATTTAAAACATTGCAAAAGTGTGTGTAAACATTTTGATAATAGAACAGTAATAATAGAATAGAACTGTCTTGTTGAATCATGGCCAATATTTAGCCCATGGCTAGCACATTAGCTCATGGCTAACATATCAAGTAGTGCATTAGCTTTGGTGTAACACCTCAGCTTGTAACCAGTGCATTAGCTCAGGGCTAACATTAAATCGTGGCTAACTAAACCGTGACAAGCATGTTTGGTCAGGGTGCTAACATTAACTCCACACAGATATTGTACTTTTATATTGCTGAATGCTCTAATAAACTAAAAATCGATACATTAACACAAGGCACATTTTGAGATTATTTTTTATTTTTGTTGTATTGAAAAAAAAAAGTTTTTTTTAAACGTATTGACACCATATATTATTCAATGTATTGGATACACATTTAGGAATTTTGTGACTTGCTACACCCCAAATTTGAAGTATAAAATGGTAACTGCCAGATTTATAATGTGATTCATATAGGAAACTTGTAGAAATTAATGTAGTATTACAACATATGTTTTCATAAGAGTATGAATTAGACAAGCACTAATTTATTGAGGATGTGGGCAATTCTGATTTGCCAAAAAGACCCCCCCCCTTTTTTCCTGAACCAACTGTGTCTCAGTGAGAATGCAGAAAAGCTCATTTAAGGCTTTAGCTAACACTGAGTGAATGAGTAAGAGGCATTTGGGAGTGCTGGAATATGGAAGTCTGGAGAGTACGGAAGTCCATAGAGATGATGAGGTAGTTATAATTTTCTGGATTGTTATCTTGAGATAACAAGTAACTCATTGTTTCAAGAAAACTATTTTGTTATCTTGAGATAGCAAGATGAGTAACTCGTTATTTCAAGATAAAATTGTTATTGTGAGATCACAAGATAAATAATTTGTTATCTCAAGATAACAAGATATGTACCTTGTTATTTCAGGATAACAATTTTGTTATCTTGAGACAACAGGATAATTAACTCATTATCTCAAAGTAACAATCCAGAGAATTATAACTACCTCATGTCCTCTGGACTTCCGTAAGAGAGGCCATGAGTTGTTGCTATAATTTTCTGGATTGTTATCTTGAGATAATGAGTTAATTATCTTGTGATCTCAAGATATCTTGAAATCACAAGAAAATTAACTTGTGATCTCAAGATGACAACTTTGTTAACTACAGAGCCCCGCTGGTGACATCCTGTATAAATAAAAATAATGCGTGGCCACGACTTAGTAAGGCGTGGGAATGAGATGATTAAGTCATGGCCACAACTTAGAAAAGCGTGGGAACGAGATCCTAATGCATGGCCACGACTTAGTAAGCTGTGATCTTGTTCCCACGCCTTACTAAGTCGTGGCCACGACTTAATCATCTCATTCCCACGCCTTACTAAGTCGAGGCCATGCATTAGGATCTCGTTCCTATGCGTTAATAAGGCGTGGCCACGCATTATTTTTATTTATAAAGGATCTCACCAGCGGGGCTCCTTAGAAAGGCGTGGGAATGAGATGATTAAGTTGTGGCCACGACTTAGTAAAGTGTGGGAACGAGATCCTAATGCGTGGCCACGACTTAGCCTTACTAAGTCATGGCCACCACTTAATCATCTCATTCCCACGCCTTACTAAGTCATGGCCACGCATTAGGATCTCGTTCCCATGCATTAATAAGGTGTGGCCACGCATTATTTTTATCTATACAGGATGTCCTCATCAGGGCTCCGTTGTTAACTGAAGTTCACAAGAAAATTAACTCGTTATCTCATAACTTTGTTATCTTGAGATCAAAAGATAGTTAACTCGTTATCTCAAGATAACAATCCTGGAAATTATAACTACCCCATG